CTTCCTCTCTTGGGGTTACTTATTTTCTCAGGCCTGGTGAATTCCAGCCATGCTGCTCTTGGTGCTGGCACCTGGTTTTGCACATCCTCAGGTCCTGCCACCCTGCCTGGCACTGGGGGCTGGCTAGATCACACAAATGCTTGAGCTCCTTTCCATTCCTTGGCTAGCAGAGCACCATCAGACACTCTGCTCTGCATTCTTAGCCATCCCAGCCTGCTCTGGGGCTTTATAACCTTCTTAGGCTGCTATGTCTCGTGCTGTGCACCTTCCCTGCCCTTCACACCACACCCTGCTTACCCTGGCCTCCCTGAGCATGTGCCTCCTGCAGGGGAGATCTGCTGTGCATGGAGGCAGGATTGGTGGAGGAACAAGGGTTGGCCATTTCTTCAGGATGTCTGAAGTGATCTCCAATGGTCTCAGTGCCCCCACACAGCCCCAGCTCCTCCAGCTGCCCCTGAGCTCTTGGTGTTTAAGGGCATGAGTCACATCCCGCAGTCCCAGAGAGGAGGCTGCTCCTCCAGAGCTGTGTGTGGGCACTGGACAATGAGAGCTCTTCAGGAGCCCTGGTTTCTCCCTGCCAGCAGCAGCTTACACAGGACTGAAGGCAGAGAGCTCCTCCTTTGCTGGTGACGGTGGTACCAGGTCCCAGCACATCTGGCTTCCCAGGGAATGGTCATGGCCCCAAGGCTGCCAGAGCTCCAGGACTGTTTGGACAATGCTGTCAGGCACAGGGTGGGATTGTTGAGGAGTCCTGGTGCAGGGCCAGGAGTTGGGCTTATGATCCTTATGGTTCCCTTCCAACTAAGGACATTCTGTTGATATTAGTCATCCCCAGGCAGAGGACCTGGAGAGGACAAGGGCTGGTACTTCAGCTTCAATCTTAGGAGAAAGTCTCCTGCAGCTTTCTCTGGGCACAGCTTTGAGGGATGTATTTCCCTCAGGTACATGGTGAGCCTTCTCCTGGGCCAGCTGCTGGCCCTCACCTCAGACCAGAGCTGTCTGGAGTTCAGTATGTCTGATGGCATTTTCATTCCTGGATCTTCCCTGGAGCAAGGGAGTAGTTCAGAATTGACTTGATTTAAAGGATGGGGGAATGGAAGAATTAATGAAGTGACAAAGTCTTGTCCCTGAGTTTCCAAGACTGAGAACCCAGAAAATTCAAGCAGGAGCAAAGCTGGTTTGTGGCACACGGATCAATGAATTACTGGGAAATGGAGTGTGGGGGTATCCCATCACAAAGAGGGGCTGCTGCATGTGGGACCAGCTGGGGTGAGTCTCCCTCACTGGTTTCTTCAGTGGCTGCAGCAGCTCCAGGGACCTCTGTCTCTTCTTCCTGATGCGTGCCAAAGGGAAGAGCTTGGGGCTCATGCTAGGAAAAGTTGATCCTGCAACTTCCAGATGCATTGAAACACACATAGGCTAGTTCCTTTTTTTTTTTTTTTTCCTTTTTTTTTTTTTTTTCCTTTTTTTTTTTTTTTTCCTTTTTTTTTTTTTTTTCCTTTTTTTTTTTTTTTTCCTTTTTTTTTTTTTTTTCCTTTTTTTTTTTTTTTTCCTTTTTTTTTTTTTTTTCCTTTTTTTTTTTTTTTTCCTTTTTTTTTTTTTTTTCCTTTTTTTTTTTTTTTTCCTTTTTTTTTTTTTTTTCCTTTTTTTTTTTTTTTTCCTTTTTTTTTTTTTTTTCCTTTTTTTTTTTTTTTTCCTTTTTTTTTTTTTTTTCCTTTTTTTTTTTTTTTTCCTTTTTTTTTTTTTTTTCCTTTTTTTTTTTTTTTTCCTTTTTTTTTTTTTTTTTCCTTCTTTTTTTTTGCTCTCTTCAGAGCCAAAACCTACTTTGAAACTGGAGGGAAGGAAAAGGGGTTGGGTACATCTCCACCCTTCCTGCCGGCTCTGCTGTGACACAAGAGCTGGGGACCAAAGGGTCAGCACTACTCACTGGTGTGGAGGAATGTTATGTGGAAGCATCCAGGCAGCTCCTCTCATCCTGGCAGCAGGAGGAGCTCCACGGGACAGCTTTGCTGTCCTGCACACCCTGTACATGCCTGCTGCCCAGGTCTGGTGGAGATTTTGAGGAAGGGTCTGCATCATGTACCACAGAACAGGGTGAGCAGCTGTGAGTGGCTTGGGGGTGGTGAGATCAAACCTGGTTTTATTTTGGGAGCAGTTACACAGCATCAGTTTCAAACCTGGTAATTATTGCAGCTGCAAGAGGCAGAAAACCAAAATCCAAACTCAGCATCTTGCTAAGGTGCTTAACTGTTAATTTCCATGAGTGAGATCCACCCTTCTCAGGACACTTCAATCTGTTCACATTGTTGCTTCCCCTCCAGATTAGATAGGTGGAAGCAGTGCTTTATTAATTAGAGGAAAAATCCTGCTCCCTCCTGCCAAGACAGAGAACTCTTGGCAGTTTGCTCCCATTTAGTGACTGAAGCTTCCCCTGTTCAGCCACGTGCCTGCAGGTCATCTCCTGGGGCAGAAATTCCTCAAAAATAAGGCTGAGTGCTTCCAGAGAAGCTTTCTTCTTCTTTAATTGACGCCTTCCCTTGCTGGGGTGCAGTTTCCATTCTCACCTTGACTTCTTGGGGGCTCCTCATTTGTTTAGTGTTGGCCAAAGGCGTTTTGGGGCTCAGCGTGGTGAGCACGTACATGCTTTGCATTGGGCTGTAGCGCTGCTGCCACTCCTGTTCTCAGACTGGTTTGCCCTCTCTCCACCTTTGGTTAACACTCCTCCTTCAATATCATTCATTGGCTGCTCTCACCTGGCATGAGGGTGACCCTGAGGAGAAGGATTTACTGCTTTGCCTGGAGAAATCCGATTTCACACAGCACTCACAGCCAAGCAGCCCAGTTAGACCAGACGGTCTCAGAGATCACTCCAACTTAGCTAGGTTATCCTCCACCTATTTATAGCTCCCTTCCTCTCCCAACTCCACCCACCATGGGGTTTTACTGCAGGTTTTAAAGCAGGGCCCCCAGGCTTTCCCCTCCCTGTGGAGTGGAGCTGCCTGTTCTGGCTCCCTGGTGTGGAGCTGGTAGAGGAGATCTGCTGGGAGAGCAGCACCACGTTGGGAGCCAGCAGCAATGCAGGCAGCAGACATGTCTGTCTCCTCTTGGGCTGAGCTACAACTGGCGTTTCCATGGGCAGCAGGAGGAAGAAAAGGGTTCTGCTTTACCAACTTGAGGAACTGGTCTTGAAACCAGGCTGTGGAATTGCTTTATGTGGCAGTTTAACCCAGCTCAAGGGGGAAAAAGGCTACTGACGCCTGGGCATCCTTCCTGTTTGCCTCAGCCTGCAGTGAGGGGCTGTTCTACCCATCTTGCCTTTTTTTATCTACTTTATAATGATAGAACCCAAGTTTTGAGGTAAGAGACAGTTTGTTCTTCTAGTGGGTGTGGGAGTTGCATCCTCTGTGCCTTTGCTGCTGGAGCAGATGGGGGCCCCTGGGATGGGTTGAAAGAGCAGAGCCACCACAGGTGTGGGATGGGGAATGTCTCCAGATAGACTGAGTTGATGATACTTGGAAGTGTCTTCCCCTCACATGGTGTGACTTTCATTTAGCCAGAAAATCAGATTTCTTACGAATTATCTGCTTGAGTAGCAGGAAATGAGAAGGGAAGCACCAGGGATCCACTTTGGTTGGGTCTGCAGAAATCAGTGAAACCTTGCTGTTGGGTAATGGGGATGTGGGGCTGATGTATGACAGGGAGGCAGCCCAGTTAAAACAAGGAAGAGGTAGGAAAAACAAGCCAGTTAAAACAAAGAGGTAGGGTTCTTGGGCTTTTTTCAGATTTGTTTGGTTCATCCAGGCTTTGCAGGCTACAGAGACCGTGACAGAGCAGTTAACATTCTCCAGTTAATGACCTAATGCAGGCACATTCTGCTATTGAACTTGTAGCAAAATTACACCTGCTCCTTGAGCTGCTGCTTTGGAGAGTCTGTTATCTATCAAGGCCTTTCTTGATCCCTTAGATCAATCCTGGGATTGGAAAGCTGTATTTTAGGACTCCTCATCTCAGCCTTTTTACGGCAAAAGTAGTTTCTTCGCAAAGGTCTTTCTGTGGTTCATTCATCTCCTTAAATCCTGGTGGGTAATTGAATAAGCTCAGCTGTGCTAATTTCTCCATCTTCTCTGTTTCTTCTTTTTTTGCTCTGTTAAATGTTACCTTGATCCATTGCTCCTGACATGCATCCAGATTGTCCTGCCTTTACACTTGAAGGAGAGATGTGTGTGTGTTTAAACTTCTTTTAATACAGAGGACATGAAATGTTTCTGGAGTTTAATTGTGAGGATGTTTGAAGAATAAATTCTGAAAAGTAGGAAAGACAGAGGAAGAAAAGGAGGAGCAAAGCCTCAGACCTGCTTCTGTGGGTAGGGGCATATTCAGGATCAGCTAAAACTTACCTTGAGCTGAAAGCAAATAGTTCCAGAAAATACTTGTGCAGATCCCCAGTCTGTCCAGTTCCAGTCCTACTGGGGTGTTAGAGGGAAACAGGAAAAGAGGAATATTTTATTTTATGTGTAAGCACATGAGCCATCCAGTCCTTGTAGCTGAGTAACTAAAACTGGTGTGCCAGTCAGAGCCCAGACTAACTTGGTGTGTGTGTGGTCCACAGGGCTGCTGGTTTGGGCTCCAGGTGGGCCTGGCTTGTCCTGTTTTCTGCTTCTTTCCCATGTGCTTTGGGCCTTGTGCTGGGCTCTGCTGTGCTTCCCTCCATCAGTCGGTGCTTCCCTGTGCCTGGGAACTCCTGGTGCTTAACTTGGGGGGAGCCTCTTCTAGAGCCCCCGCACTCCCCATCTCCAGCAGCAAAAGCTGGATTCAGTGACACAGCCCTTCCCATCCCAGTGAGCTCTGGGATGGGGACCCTGAGCAGAGCATGTATTGATAGGCTTTAAAACTGGAGGGTTGTTGCTGAAATCATACCTTATCTTTCTCTCTTTTTCTTTCCTTTTTTTTCCCCTTTCTCTGTGTTTGTTTGTTGTTTTGTTTTTTCCAACTCTGATCAGAACCGACCTTCCTCTCTCCAGCGTGCTGGGATCTTTGCAGCAGCCCATGCCGCAGCGCCTCGCCCGTTCCACCCGAGCTGCCCATGCCACTGGCTTGGACCTAACCTAGGCTCAGTCTCAGCGTGGCCTGGGCAGGGGGGAACCATGGGGAGCTCTGCCTCATCGCTGGCCGCAGAGACGGAGTCGGACCATGGCTTCAGTAGCTCGCCCTACCCGGGGCACCCGGCCGTGGGCTGGTATAGGAGCAGTCCCGGTGGCCCCGTGTGGGAAAGTGCCCTCATAACGCGGCAGCACCAGCACTTACAGCACCGGCTGCGAAGGTAAGGAGGAGGGGAAGGAGCCTGCTCACCTGCTCAGCTGCTCACCTGCTCACCTCTCAGCTTCAATCCGGGCGCTGCCTTTGGGACACGACTTGCTTTGCATCCTGCTGAGTCTTGAGTCCTTTCATTCAGAGGCTCAGCTCAGTTCCTCGGGAAGTCAGAGCCAAATTCCCACTGATTTCAGTGATGCCAAACCCTGGCTTTACACAGGGTGGCTGATGTCTCCTGCAGAATGGACTGCAGGACTCATCCCAGCTCTTCCTCACTCACTTAAATTGTCAAGGTGGCTGCCTGGGAATGGGATCTCAGTTCCTTGTTTGCCATGTTCTCGTGGCTTCTTTTCTTTCTGGCCTCCCAACCACACTGCAGTGTCACAGGTGGAGGATTGTGTCTCCAGGTTGGGTGGCAGTAAGTTGCAAGAGTTTCTGAACTCGGAAGAGCCAGAGAAGCTGTTTTCATGCAAAAGCAGTGAAATGCTTTTGAATAACAGATCCACAAGAATGAAACACAGAAAAAACAGAATTACTCTTAAAAATAGATTAGTGTTTCCAGCCCTGGATTCCTATCCCACCTTGATGAAATCAGCACCTCAGATGTTTCTCTGAGCTGTTGCCTCTGCCCCTTCCACATCAGCCACTTGCAGTGAGGAGTTTCTCTTGTTTTTGGGGGGCTGGTGTCCTGCATTCAGTCTCTGACAGGTTGAGAGATGTATCAAAAAGCATCCAAAACCCCTCTGCCCGGGGGCTTGGCTACAGAGGCTGCCGTGTTTTGTGCTGATAATATTTGAGCCTTTGCCTAATGCCTGCTTTGTGTGGACTCCAGCCTGGATGGGTGTCCATACCTGCTTGAGTCTGTTTGGAGCTGCTGGTCATTTAGGAATAGCTGCTTGCTCTGAGTGTCCCTGAGCTGTCCTGGCTTTCCCCTGGAGGTGTTTGCTGTGATGTTGGTGCAGTATCTGTGGTGCAGTCTTCGTTTTCCTGCCTTCCTGCTGCTGCAAGGCCTGGGATGTGCTTCCCAGGCTCTGGTGCATGACTCTAGAGCCTTCCAGCAATGTCAGGCTTTGCTCCTTTCTGGCCCTGTCTTGGGTCTTCTTGTTGAGCTTGGAACAGTGTGAAACCAATAAGTTGTTGTCTTTACTCTCTAGCATAGACTTGAGTTCCTCTAAAAAAGATATTTTGTGTAGCTCCCCAATTCTGTTGCTGTATGTGCAAACCTGTGTGGCTGGTCCAGAGCTCTGGTCGGTGATCTGTGCTGTGTGGGTTTGTCCCCTCTGGTTTAGAGGGATCCTGCAAACAGAGCTGGATCCTTCCTGCAGGATTATCCCTTCTGGACTGCTGCTTTTCCCTCAGTTGCCTTGAGGAGTTGGGAAGGTGTCTCAGCTCACAGATGAACTCCCTGGTGTGGCTGTGCACAGCCAGAACTGAAATTTAGGAACTTCCAGTGTACACCTGGCCCTGGGTAAAAATGACAGTGTCTCTGCAGACAGTGTGACAGCTGAGGCTGCTCGTGACTCCAAGTCTGTAGTTTGAGGAACTAAGTGATATCTTGACATGTGGAAATAAATTTCCTGAAGAACCAGCCTTGGTGGTGGAGCGGATGTTGGGGCAAGAACAGGAACTGCTGGTCTTGGCACAGATAACACCGGTGTCCTGTGGGGACAGGAGTGGCTTTTGTGATAATCCCTTATTTCCCCTGCTAAAGGGAGAGCAGAACTCATCCTGACTCTGTCGTGTGGTTCCTGGAGACAGGAAAATCACCGGCCATGATTCACTGAGCAGTGAGTTGCGTGGGAAGAACTCGCTCCAGGCAGTGATTATGGAAGTGGGTTCAAAAGACCTGAGATCAGCCAGGCATCAAAGGGCCGCCACTCCCAGGGAGCAGGGCCAAGGAGCAGCGGATGATTGGTTTCCAGAGAGGAGCAGATAAATACATTCTTTTAAAAAATTAAGTAAGTCAATAGAACAAGTCAGGGTAGGTATCCTGCCTGTGCATGTCCTCGTCCCTGGAGTCATGTAAAGTAGGAAGGAAGTGGAGTACAGGGGAGTCAATTTGAGACCAGGCTGGAGTTCTGGGATAGACTTTGCTTTTCCTGCTGATTTTCTGTTCCTGCCTGCTGCCACCTTCAAAGCTGATAATGCTTTGGCTGCAGAGCAGCACAGAGCCAAGCTGCTCTGGGCTGTCTCAGGGATGAACACAAACCTTCCTTGGCAGAAAAACAGGGACACAAATACTTAGCGAGTGACTTTGGTCTGTACTTGGCTTTCAAGATTTTAGAACCTGTGAGGAGGCTTCACTGTCTCCTGGGTGAGGCTGATGGTGTTGGAATTCCCTCTCTGCTGAAGACAGGGAGACAAGAGGGAGTAGAAAAAGGGCCTTAGTGGTAGAAGCAGCTGACTTGTGACAATCAGATTTGAGTCCCTGCTCTTTTCTGGACAGGGCTGCACAGTCTCTTTCTGTGTGTCAGCATTTAAACAGGAGCCTGTTCTTTTCCCAGGTGCCAGGAGGACACAGCTACTGAAAGACTGGAGGTAGCAGGTATTAGGTGCATGTTGGAGGGATCTGATTGCAGAAACCTCTGCTTAGGGCAAAGATGTTGGGTTTGAATTCACCCCTGGTAGCTGTGTGCAGCCAGACAAAATCTGGCTCAGCCACAAACCCCTTTGGGCTCCATCTCATGTGCTTGAAGGTGCTTGGCCTGGGCTGTTGTTGGGTGGGAGCGTTCAGCTGAGCCTGGGGATCCATCGTGGCCAAGCTTCCCAATGTTCCAAACCCTTCCTGGAGCCGGGAGCAGGAAGGGGCAGTGCCACAGGCTTGGTGCTGGCAGCAGGACATGGCTCCATTGCTGTGCCTGCCACCATGGAATGGTTTGGGAGCTGTGGGATCGTAGTGGTTTCTCCTGCTGCTGCTGGAAGGGGTTGGTGACACCTCTTCAGGGTGCATCCTTCCACATTATAAGGGGTTAGGAGGGAATTGGGGCTCTGAACTGTTTCCTGGTGAGATTTAAGGCAATGTTCCTGTTCACCTATTCCTCACTCCTACCATTTATGAAGAGGGTCCTGTTGAGTACTGAGAACTTTTGGATTTCACTCTTAGGAGAGGCTTTTGGGGAAAGGGTTTGCAAGGTCTGTGCAGCTAAGTGTCTCTGCCCACTACTCACTTTGGCTGAAGCTCTCTGAACTCCCTCCTCTTCCAGAGGATATTCATTTTCTGGGCTTTCCCGCAGCGTTCTGCAAAGGATTTTTATTTTTCTATAAAAGCCTTTGCAAAATGAAATAACCCCTGGGTCTCAATGACTGTGGAGGGAGGAGCACACTCTTTCATTATTCTTTTATTTTATTATTATGATATGCTAAAAATATGTAAATCTCCCTGCTTTTAGAGGGAAGTGAGGGGACCTGCTTTTGTTGTTGGCAGGTGGTGGGAGGGCACTCGCTGTGCCACCCCCTGCTCCCCAGAATCACCATTTATTTCTGGGGAAAATCTCCAGGCAAGCCTGAGTATCCTGGCTGTTTGTGAGCACTTGGCTTAAATACATGAACAGCAGCAAGTCAGAACTGTTGGGCAGCATCACAGAGGCCTTTTCCATGGGCTCTGAAATGTTCTGAGGCTGGTGGAGATTTTGTAGCTGAACTCTGGCATATGGAAGTGTAGCAGGGAGCTGTGTGGAGTGGGAATGTGACTGTGCTGCTCCTTCCCCCCATCCTGTGGCACTTCAGCTCTGAGTGCAGCACAAGCAGAAGTGTCTGGAAGACACCAGGACTGTTTAGTCTGAAGAAAGGAGGGCTCAGGGGGGATCTTCTGGCTCCCCCCAGTTCCTTGACAGGAGGGTGCAGCTGGGTGAGGGTCAGGCTCTGCTCCTGGGAAACAAGGGACAGGACAAGAGGAAACAGCCTCAAGTTGTGCCAGGGGAGGTTCAGGTTGGATGCTGGAGAAAAATTTCTTCACAGAAAACGTGGTCAGGTATTGGAACAGGCTGCCCAGGGCAGTGGTGGAGTCAGCATCACTGGAAGAAAGCATGTGGATGTGGCACTTGGGGACACAGATCACTGGTGGCCTTGGCAGTGCTGGGGGAGCAGTTGGATTCGATGTACATTCAGTTTTCCCAACTGAATGATTCTGTGTGTTTCTTACTGGGGAAACCAGAGAAATGAGATTCTCAGGAAAAAAGCTCCAGGTGCAGCATCAGGTGACTGCAGGGAATCACCTGGTGATCACCTGCTTCTGTTTTCTGTCATCAGATCTCAGGCTGGGCATCGGCCTTGGGAGGTCTGGCAGCCTCAGCAGTACAGGTACCCCAACAGACCTGGGGTGGGGCAGGCACAGATCCCTGGGTTTTATCAGTAACCTGCATGGATTTGGCTGTGCTCAGAGTTTATTTTGCACCTTTCAAAAATCACTGACTGGCTGAGGTTGGAAGAAATCTCTGGGGTCCAGCTGGTCCATCTCCCTTCCTAAGCCTCCTTGTTCCATGCAAAGAACAGATGTGGCTGTGGAACAGATGGGGATCATCAACATCTGCTCAGACTGTGTACCCACAGAGGAGTGATGAGGAGGGAAAAAGGAGCCACTCATCCAAACCACGAGGGCACTACCATCAGCTCTCATAGTCAGGACATGCCTGCTCATCACACAGGAGTGAAGCCTGTGTTCCCCAGGTGCTGCAGCGAGGTGGATGCATCCCTGTGTGGGTTGTGCTCCCTCTGGAAGTTGCTGTGGAGTTCAGCTGGGATTTGGTGGAGTAAAGATGCTATAGGTTGTTGTGGATACTTGTTTGATGGGAATGTTTGGCTTGTAACTGTTTGCTCACTAGTTCTCACCAGAGCCTGTGGTATCTGGAGCAGTGTCTTGCTCAAGGGGGTGTTGCAGTGTCAAGGAGTTGGCAGCATGGAATGCTGTTTCATCTGCCTGAGGCTCCCAGCCCTGCCCATCTGCCCTCCACACTGCCTGCCCCAGCAGTCACAAAGCCTATTAGTTGTTTAAATTAGGGCTATTTATAGCTC